GATGACACGCTGAGCTATAATCCTGTAATGTATTTCTGAGGGATGCTGAAACACTAGATATTGCAGAAGGCCTCTTAGTCCCTGAAGTGATACTGTAGGAATAGTGGCATGACATCATCGCAGGTAAAAATACCACAAAGTGCTACACTGTAAGCCTCTATGGGAATATTACTATAAGTATGGCTGCAGTTATCAGGTTTAAATGTGCAGCCAGACTGAGTGAGAGATAAACTCCTGTGGAGAGCTTAGAGGGGATCATTTCTTAGCGAAACTGATGGACTGTGTTTAACTTGACTTACAACGTGACTTCAGGTCAATATTCAACATAATATACAGGTTTATTTGGGGGGAAAGGCATTCTCTGTTCCAAGGAAGTTGTCACCCCTATTATGTGTGTTAGTGAAGGAGGATGATTATTACACAAAACTTCTAGATACACATTAACTAACACTTTCTGGACTTCATGGGGATGGACTCTCATGAATACACGGGGCTCTGTGCCCAACTGTTCACTCAGTTCACTCCACCCCACAGTTGTTGGCTAGTGGGGTGGAGGTAAGCTTGGCAGTTTTCTTGAAGAGTTCTGAGTTCTGTTGGTTCATGATTTATGATCAAGTCCCAGGCTGTTAGTTCTTTTAATTTTAATATTATATCCTGGCTTATCTTTGTTTCTAGTCCTTGGTTCCTGTGTTGAGTATGAGATTTTGGAGTTAAGGTCTGTTTCTGTATCATATCATGACAAGAGCTTGCAGTAAAGTACAGCCACACAGATGTTCCCTTTGCCCACAGTGTAAAGTATTCTGCTACCCTGATGAATCGCATGCATAAAAAAAACAAGTAATTTCCTTCCTCAACCTTGAGATTTAAACTTTGTGCTGAGAGCTTATGTAGCAAGCTAGACTTTACAGGATGTCTTCATGTGTGATGTGATTGGTTGTCATTCACATTTACCTGTTACTACAGGCTACAGTGTGACTTCCCTTTTATGATAATCCTGTAGGTGTGTGTTGTCGGCTTGCACCTGTTTGCATAATCTGATTACCTTTTTCTTTTTGTCATTAAAAAAAACCATGAATTCAAATAAAGTAGTTAATGTAGCTGAATATGAATAAGCATGAGCTGGTAAAAGCAAACATCATCTTTTTGTGTTTACAGAAAAAAAAAAAAAAAAAACTTGAGCTTTCTTGTAAATGTGGTGTCCTGACTGAAGGCCTAAAAGAAAAAGAAAAAGAAAATTAATATTATAAATAATAAAATTATCTTTGTTTCTAATGAGCAGTGACAGGAAAAAGGATTACAGTTAAAGCTTGCTGCTGCCTATTTTAAGCTAAAGTTTTCAGCTATTGTGGATTTCAGCACCATGGACAGCTCTGCTTAAACTGACACTTGATGTTTGCATTATTATTTTAATATTTTATAAATGTTTTTGGAAAAAAAACGTTATCACCGTGCACTGAATCTGAAAACTCTTCAAACTGTGTTTTGGATTTATTCTCTTCACTCAGTATCTCTCCACATACTCTTATTTCCACACTGGTATATGTCCCAAAAAACACAAAACAAAATGAAACAACTCAGAGTCAGAGTAATATAAATTTTGGCTTAGTCCAGCATATGAGTAGCAGTACACTCTTCATTTAAGAAAGTCTTTATGCTATATAAGTAATTCTTATTATTTATCTTCAGTTCACTTTAGTTTCTGTCATTTTAGAGCACAGATTTGTTTGTTTTAGTTGCCTTACTATTTATTCATCTTAAGTTTATTTGTGTTAGGCTCTGTTTAGTTTTTATTAGTTTCAGTGACAGTTTCAGTTTAAAAAAAAATCATTTTAATATTTGTGGTGTTTTTAAACTATTAATATACATTAATTAATAGTTTCAGTAATTGCTATTGTTTAATGACTGTTATTAATTAGTTAAATAATTATTAGAAATGTTCACATAAAGCTTTTAGCATGTAAAGCAAAAATGAATTAAACAAGCAAAATTAAGAAGAAAAATAAAAAATGAATTAAACACAAAAAATAGCGACAGTTATTGACGAAAAAGGTGTTTCCTGTGGAAGGTCTTTTATTTTGAAGCTGTTGCCGGAACCTCGCGTTGATTGTTAGCAGCTTTGTGGCTCGCGCAGCTAAAATCGTCGCGCGGCAGGTTTGTGATGTTATTACCGGGCAGAGACAGACCGAGACTCCGAGACGATGACGGCCGCCAGCAAGAAGAAGCCCAAAGAGTCTCAGCAGGATGAGGTGGGATGACTCGCTAAAACCACACAGCGACACAGACAGACATCTTTATTTTTAATTTATTTATTTTTTATTTCTAGCTATAATTAGATAACGTTCAGGCGCGTGTGGTCTGCGCGATAGCTACAGTGGACAGGGACCCCGCGCTTTATTTTAAATCAAATTTTAATGAAATTGTTTATTTTTTACTTGTAAGAATCAAATCTGTAGAAGTTTATCTTTTCCTTCAAGGAGCTTTCCTTTTCCTCCTTCCTCTCAGTAATTTCACACTTTTCCAACTTCAGCCTGAATCCGCGGAGCTCAGGCACGGCTGCAGCGGCACAGCGAGCCATCAGAGCCGGCTGACAGGGATGCAATGTTCGCGGTGTAACTCCAACAGGTTGTCCATGATCATGTAAATAATTCAGGGCGCGTTTGAGGGAAAAACAGGCCGGGAGCTCCGTTTGTGGCGACGCTGGTGACTTTGAGTCCTGTTTTGTAGATGCTTTGGCTTCGCAGTTCTTTAAGTTTCCTCGGGTTTGTTTTTGCGTCTTTCTGATCAAATTGTTTCGTTTTTGGTTGTTTGTTTGTTAGTTTTTTTGGATTCTTTCGTGTGTTAATCTGCTCAGTCTGCGCATAATTGTTGTGTATTCATCACATGACACAGACAATAATAACAGGTACAGCATATTTATGGTTGAGTGGTGCAAAGATGTTGGAATAGATTAGGAATGGATAACTGGTTGCTACATATACAGTATATATTGACTATTAATAAGTATATAAGTGGTATACAAACATGTACAGCAGAATAAAATATCCCCATGTTCATTTTCAGTGTTTATGTTTCGTTTTGTGTCTCTTCATTGTCATCTTTTTCATGTTTTGGTGATTTGTGTCTTTTTTGTTGTTGTTGCTTTGAGCCTTTTTGTGCTCTTACTGTTTCTTATTTTAAATGTCTTCCTGTTCATCTTCTTTCTTACTTCTTGTGTTTGATTCCCTTTTTGTCTCATTTTGGTGGTTTTATGTCTCAGTTTTTGCATCTATTTTTTTCATTATTTTCAGTCTTGTTGTGGTAGATCTGGCAGGTTTTTGAGTTTAAATGTTGTGTGTCTTGTTCTTTATCTCTTCATTGTCATCTCTTTTGATTTTTGTTTCTCATCTTTTTGTGGGAGTCTCTGCCTGTGCTCTTACTGTTTATTTTAAATCCTTTGTGTCTCGTTTTTGCATTTTTGTATTTCTTCCTGCTCAACTTATTATTTCTTAATTTACTTAGTAAATGTGTCACATTTTGACTCTGTGTGCTAGTTGTGTCTAAATCCTGTCTCCATTTGCTTGTTTTTCATCATTGTGGTAGATCGTGGTGTTTTCTAGTTTAAATGTTGTTTGTCTCATTTAGTGTCTTCATCGGGTCATTTTATTTTGCTTTTTGTTCATCTTTATTCTCATTACTGTCACGTGTTTGTGGTAGCTTGGCATTTATGAAGCCTTGTGTCTAATTTGTCGTCTCTTTGAGTTTGATTGTCATTGTAGCTCCTGTTTTAGTAGGTTCGTGGGTTTTTTTGTCTTTCTTTTGCTCATTTTCAGTGTTTTGTGTGTCACTTGGAATCAAATTGTGCACATTTTTTGCTAGTTTTTCGGTTGTTTTGGATCTTTGAGGAGCTTTGTGCCTCCTTCAGTCAGTCTGTTTTGCACATGGATGTAACCAGGGTTTAGAAATTAGTGTGGTACAGATAACGTTTTTGCCGTTACGCTTTGCTCTTTTGCAAGAGTGACTATGTCTGTAGAAACATGTAAGATGAAATAACAAAAGTAGAGAATTATGGCTTCATTTAAAATACAAACAGCACAAGGGAGGAAGTTACTTACTCGATGGCTCCTGTCCTGCTGTGCCTCTGATTCACTCCTCCTGTCTAAACCAACCAGTTATCATTTCTCATGAGTCATCGGCCTAAACGCGGCCCAATCAGGCGCGGTGTAGGGTGGGCCATAATGATGTAGAACTGAAGTCTTTTCAAAGTAAAAGCCACCTATAGCATCTCGTCTCTCCTAAAACATCTGAATCTGATATCCCGAGCCTCTTTGTGGTAATTTTGCATATCTGTGGTCATCGTTGTTTACATTCGTGTACCAAATTTTGTATTTGCACTTGCACTTGTTTATGCCCCATTTTACTAATTTCTGACCTACTTGTGGTAGTTTTGCACATATTTGTGGTAAAACTGTTTCTCATTTTGTATTTCTGTGTTACACCTTATTTTGTGTCATTGGCTCGCAGAGATGTTATCTTTGTTGTCTTATCTGTTATCTGTTGTTTACTATCTTTGGAGTAATTTGTTGTTGCTCCTTTATCTCATTTAAGTAATTTTGTATTTGTTTCTGGATGTGTTTCATGGACGCTCTGCATTCTTTTCCCCACCAAACAATAATCTTGATTTTATTTTGGGTCTAAAAGTTGATTTTTATTTATTCTCTGTGAGTTTGAAGTCTGTTTTGCAAGAGAAATAAACATGCAAAAAGAATGCAGCTTAGAGTTTTCTGCATAAGAACAGATTCTTTTGTCTTTAAAACACCAGGAAACGATAAGTCTCAAAACATTTACTACCATGCAAGAGAAGGATGAGCCGAAAATGATCAATTTGAGAACATTTTGGGCATTTTTAGCTTGAAGAAAGACTCAAATGTCAAATCAGTTGACACGACTTGGATTGATTTGGTTTACTGATTAAATCACTAAGCGCCTGCTCTACAAAAAACTAGTACACAACAGGAAAAAGTAACTGTACAATAACATTTAAGTTTTTACAGATACTTAATTTACTCGGAAATAATCCCTCCTTATTGTTTTTTCAGTCTTGGCCTTTGTCTTTGCATTTTTTTTGTCTGTTTTTGGTGTCTGTTTGCTTAAAGTGACTGGATAATACTCCTGGTAATAATGTCTTGGGTTTTTATTTCGTGGCATAAAACGTGTCCTTGCCTTTTTATGTCCGAGGTCGATCTGAGAGGCTGGAAATTATAGCCTTGAATTCGTGTTCAGTCTCAGCGTGACCCAGTGAAAGCCTTTGTGTGGAAAGCCATCGCCTTGGCTTTCAGCAGGTTCGGTTTGTCGATGTGTGTCTTTGCGTCTGTCCCTTTAACTCTCTTCAGTGTATCCTCAGCACACAAACACCGACACGCATGCTTTGATTTGCTCGCCTGCCTTACTTCCCACTGAAGGGAGTTTGATCAGCAGACTGTTGCAGTGAACTGTGTCTGCTGAAGCACACTCACACTCTGAGCGTACGGTGAATTAGCTCCGAGATGTTGAACCAAACTCAGAGAGGAGTCGATGGCCCAGTGGTGTGCAAAGGAAGCTCTACCCACTGCTGAGCGTGTCTGAGGTTTTCCTGCTTCGGTAATTGAACAGTTTCACCTCTCACAGCAGTGGATGTGATATAGATTGTTCTGGACACGTTTGTGCCTTTTATACTAAGCATCACACAGATTTATTCAAAGTGGGTTTGTCATAATAATCCTTCAATAACACTAAAGTCGGCATCCCGCAGCAGCGTGCAGCGATATGAACAGAAGATGAAAGTGTTGTTCATCACAGAAGATCTCAAAAAGATCTAAAAAAAAAAAA